GCAATCAAAAGATCGAGTGGAACAAATGAGTTAATGAGTATAAATGTTGCAAGGATAAATGACCTTATGTGAATATTATTTGATATATTGTGAGGAATAAAATGATTCATATGTGACATATATCAATGTGGTTATGGATAACTGAATATGTGGAGTTGAGGTATAAAAGTGTGCGCATGACGTCATATAAATACTAAAATCTGGGACGCCAGATAAATATTAGCATCTGGGACGCCAGATTGCGTTATTATTATTTTTATTATTAGCATAAGTATTATTGTTGGAAAAATTATCGTATTATTAGCATGGTTCCATATATGTTTTATTGTTATCATAGTCTTTTGGATGGATAATACTATGGCAAGTTAAAATCTTGCCTGTTAAATGTGACTGTATTCAAGTTTGATGATGATTGTTATAATATACGTAGTTAAGTTTTTCTTGACATGCATTTCTGCTTCATTCATTTTGGATATATTCGTAAACGCAGGACATGGACATTCGTGGATATACAGGAAACTGTGGACATTTATCTACATGTATGCCAACGTGCGCGAATAAGACGTTTATCCATATACAATGAGTGGCAGATGACAATCGATATGCACTGTCTAGAAGGACTGATTTTACACTATGTGCTAACTGAACTTTCGTGCTAAAATTCAAAATGGAGGATTCAACGGACTATACCAAATGGAACTTTTCATTTGAGTGGATATGAACTTTAAATTTTACGAGTTAATTTTGAGTTATATGTTATTGCATGTGGTTATAACGACACATGAAGTATTGTGTGTTGAATATTAAATACGTTTAGTATTAATAAGATATCTGTATTCAGTTTGTCGGTCTTATAATTATTAGTTATGGATATTTAACTAGACGATTATTGGTACAGGAACAGTGTACTTAGCTTTTACAAAGATGGAGACGTGAAACTGATGATATGCATTAAGGAAGATTCTTACTTAATTATTTTTCGGTATGTTTTTTTTGTTCAATCGTGGATTGGGTTTGATATAAAAAAATTGTTTCTCTTATAACCATCAAAAGAGAGCGCTACAGTGTGGATAAATATGAAGATGAAAAGGTATTTCATCATAGACGATTCGCTGGGCAACGCTGTGGTGAATGCTGTTCATCGGACAGGGAGTAGCTAACCCTATTGTCTCACGTAGTGCATACTTTACCCAAATGGAAGAGAGAAACCGTATCGTGTCATAGCCATAATAAGAGAGTAACAGCTGATTTAAACATTTGCGCAAAGAAAACAAATAAAAGTATCTGTACTCTTGGGCCGCACATTATAACATGTAAATGCACATCCACGAATAATCATATTTTCTAAAGAGTTGTCAATCTATCTTCCTTTGAGTTATATTTTGGGTTTCATGTCCAACGTATTTCTATTTTATCATAAGTTTCTTATAAAATATCTATGTACTTAGTTATGTTTTGCATAAATGGTAAGAAGAAAATGTAGTGTTTAAGAAAGTTTATTTTTAATTAAGGTATATTTTAATTTTAAATATGCCTGGGGACAGGCATATCGTCCCCGGGAGATAATGTAACGTTAGTAAGTGACAGCATGCAGCGAATAAGAGCGGGGAGTGTTTAGTAGAGTAACTTAAGTTGATTGACATGCTCTTATGGTATTTATAGAACTGCGCTTAGTGTAAACAGAGAGAAGGCCGCTACAGATTGCATGAGGTAGGAATAGAAATGAAGGAAGCGGCGCGGGTAATAACTGGACAGTAGTTCAATAAATAATAAGAAAGTTAATATCTGAGTTGTATTTGCTACCTCGCGTAACATGACGAAGACAAGCCAACAACTTCGTCACAATAGTACCCGCCCGATGCCAAATGAATCCAGAGAAAGGAAATACATTATAACCTTTACGGCAAAATGTTGCGATAAGGACGCTAAGTCGAGGTGATGATTTCATTTCTTTTAATCTTGATTCAGTATATGGTTGTTTCAAAAATTAATTCAAACTGTTTTCAACTTAAAACTTTCATTCCAGGTTCCACTTTTTGTAGCAGTGTGTTAATTGTCATTTAAACAAAAGTTGATAATTAAAGGGTTTAGGATGGAAAAATTATCAGGAAGCAGGAAAGAATGGAGAAAGGGCATTAATAAAGCCACCATTCACTCTCTTCGATTTTCTTCTTTCACCCATCCCTTCCTAATTTGCTAGGCCACTATCACCAGGTTCACAATCTAACATTGAGAAGACACTAGGATACAGGTTGAATTAAAAAATACTTATATATAGGAACTAAACCGAAGCCTTAAAATGTAATTAATGATCAATTTTTTTTTACACAATCAAGATGCAATATAAAAATAGCTTTATTATTATTTTTCAATATTTACAAAAAAAAAAGTATACGACTAAAGGTTCCTTTTTCTTTTTTGGCTGAAAAACATGAAAATATTTTTGCTGTGGAGATTTTTTAATCAACTAGTATTTTCTAAATCGAGCGACACATAAATACATAATTATTAAAACAGGTGAAAGGAACAAAGAGCTATGCGTTAGTAATCAATTTTAATATTTGAGATCTTAAAAGTAACTATGACAATAACACAAAAGCGCACCGAAAGTTGCGCGATGAATACCACTGGCCAGCAACGCCACACAAACTTTCACCCTAGTGTATAGTTCATGTGTTTTAGAAATGTTCCGTTATTATTCTGTAATAAGCCTTACGCATGAACTCCCTCTTTTTAAAAGCAATAGAATAACCTTTAATAATACATTATTATTGAATAACCATTTAGATTCTAACGATATTTTTACAAAGATATATATACAGGGTAAACTTATAGACTTTTCAATGACACTATGAAGTTGCAATGAATATTACGTTGATATGAAGGCGTTGACATATTTACCTGTTCCCATTATCTTTAGCTTGAATATTCTGAGGCAGTCATAGGAATATTAATATCTTATACGTTTGCCAGCCTTTTCACATGGCCGTGTTTGTAACAAATTTCAAACCAGTGGACTCACCTCGCAAATCAGCCAGGTCACCTTTATCTTTCTTTATTTTTTCTGTTTGCCTATGATCATCTTTTTCATCCCTCATTTTTCACGACAAAAACTCAAAACAATCCGACTACCCTAATTCAACATACATTTTATTCTCTCATCAACGGATATCTCGGAGCATATACGTCAGTGGCGGGTTTAGGGGGGGGGGGGGTCGGGAGGGGGGGGGCTGACCGCCCTTCGATTTCTGACAAAAATCACACCAATGGCCCCCTCTTGAAATTAGAATTTGGACCAGCTGAATAATAGTTCTAAACCGTACCAAATGACACCATTCACACTCTAAAATACCAAAACTTTTCCTTTCACCGCTTCCTTTCGTTTCGTAAAATCACAATGTGTTTTCTGTTGCTCAAAATAACAAGTCAGTTGATTACAACATATATTTCAGAGTACTGAGGTGGCTGTACATGCTAAGTCCAGTGTACTTTCAGTTGACTCACTGCAATTCACTACAAACAAAACAACCATGCTCCCTCAGGCTGCCTCAAAGATGCAGTCACCCTACGCCCTATTACATTATCCTCATTTTGAATCAATGCTCGAATACCACGCACTATAGGTGCCAGCGAGCAGTTCACAGCTACCTGTATCAGTTTAACGGACATCGTGCCTATCATAATTTTGGGGAGAAGGTATGTTGCTCAGCAATTGTCCTCAAATTTGCCTGTACATTTCGCATCAACAGCTTAATACATATCATTCTTATTATAAAATAAAATGATAAACAAACTAATCAAAATAAAAATAGTAAATAAAATGTGTATGATAATAAGATATTATAATTATTATAATCACTTTTTCGCATCACTGCCAAACGCCACCCCCTATGAACATAATGACCATTGGTGACGACAAGAACGCCACCATGTGACTATGTATGTCACTGAAGGTATATAAGCGCGAAATTTTGAAATTGCGTTCATTCAACACAGGAGATTTGGAGCAACAAGGAGGATGTACTGCGCCTCGTATCAAGCGAAAAGGACACAGGATTCAACTCACATTTCTCCGAATCTTTTCCTCATCCCAAGTCAACGCATCGCTCATCGACAAATGCTGTTTCTTGCACACGCAGTCGTCTGGACGGTGGATTCGACGTTTCTCTTAGCTGGCCAGCTTAAACCTTCGCTTCTCTCCACGAGGACTCGTCACTCAGGAATCTTCGCAGGATACATCATCGTCTCTCTGCTTTTGTGGGCTTCATTGTTTTTAGTGTTATTGCATGTGTTTCCATGCATTCCAGGTTATTTCTTATTGCAGGTCCAGGATGCAGAGTGCTGATATAGGTAAGAAAGCTAATTAATCCGTATTTATTTCTGTTAACAGAACTCGATTATGGCGATTCCCGATAGAGCTCCCACTGACGACTGCAAGGAGAAGAGGGCCACGTCTACACTTCAGATACTTCGATCAATCCTTGGTGCCAGCAAGTCCTGCCATGGTCTGTCTACGAGGTGGCTGCATCGGGGGAAGCGTCCAGCGAAGCCTGCCATGGTCTGCCTACGAGGTGGCTGCATCGTGGGAAAGCGTCCAGCGAGTCCTCCCATACAAGTTGCCCGCATTGGGGGAAGCGTCCAAGGCATATGGTGTTTCACCGGGAAGGAATATCCTTAAAGGTATTGTGCCATTGGGAGGGGGAAAGTATTGAAATCTCGTTAATCCATTTTACTTTGTTTACAGAACTCAAGTTGGCTGCATAAGGGGAAGCGTTCAGCGAGTCCTNTTGGGTCTTGGCTATATTGATTCCAACTTTTTTTTACAAATTAGACTACAAAAATAACTGGATCCTGTTTGAGAAACGAATTATTTTGTTGATGGATTTCATTAAAAACTTACACATTTTAGAATCAGTTTCTGGATTTAAGGTTTTTTCATTGCTGGTAGAAGATTACCATAATACGTGACTCAGTGACTTGACCAGTGAGAGTAGTCAAACATGAGGAAGAACCATGTATTGACGGATATAGCATATCCAGAAGGGTCTAAGATTTAAAACATTATATTTATGATCTCAACTGATGTCTAATGACCTCTATGAAAACAGTTTGTTGACTGATGTGTTGGTTTAATTTTTAGGGAGATGATCTCCCTGAAATCTGACCGTCCTATATCTCTATGACAACAGTTTGATAATTGACATGTTTGCTTTATTTCAGGGAGATGATCTCGCCATGTGCCGAAATCTGACCGTCCTATATCTCTATGACAACAAGTTACCCAAGGTTCCTGTGCTGCTTCAGAACCAGAACTTAACACACCTGTACCTGCAGAACAACCACATCACCAGAATGGAGAACCTGGCACCACTACGGAGGCTGACAAAACTGTAAGTGGCAGCGTATATGTGACAGTCCCTCTTTATTACTGTTCAAAATATCGTACATGTATTTGTTACAAAAAGATACCAGTTCATGTATTATAGAATTTGTTATCCAAAATTTGATTTATAAGCTGTTTGATTCTCAGTTATTTAGATTATAGTCAGTTATTACTTCATAATTACTTTTCTTTTGTAACTTTTTAAAGCTTACAAGCATCATGATCAACTGAAGTATAGTTTTCCTATATTCCAACAATTGTTTAACAAATTTCTTATGAAAAATACAAATATGATTTTTTCATTTAAACAAAGAGAGTGAATTTTTCAATTGAAAAAACTGTAAACATTTTTCTTCCAGTTACTTGGGTGGCAATTCAATCACAGTTGTAGAAGGTTTAGAGAAACTGGACATGCTGCAAGAGTTTCACATAGAAAATCAGAATTTACCACCAGGAGAAAAGCTGCTATTTGATCCAAGATCATTAAAAACACTATCAGTAAGTAGATCAAGAAACAGGGCCACAAAACAGTTAAGAGATGAAATTTTTTAGAAAAAGTGTAAAACGTGCAATTGGTGCTCTAGTTATTTTAATAAAACAATAGAAAACCATCTGTTGATATGTAGGGAATCAATAATCAAAACACTATAGAATATGCATAGAAAACCTTTGATCATATTGATTTTACTTCTTTTACCTCACAATCCTGTAAAGGGCTTGGCATTTTGGATCTTTGAAGCCTGTGTTATGTTAAGCTTCTCCTGCATCTTTATCCCCTCTATTCATAATTATATAATGTCAGGTGAGTGCCCAGCTTATAATAAACCTCCCATTGTTACAAGTCATGCTCCAGTTCATGCTGATGAATAACTTGTTATAAGGTGGAGCAAAGGTTTATTAAGTGCCATTTCACGAGAGAATCAACCAAATCAGCCAAAATGTGGCAAGGTGGGGGTCAACAGATTCAACCCAAATTTTCTGTGTTTGATAACTGTTACAAAAGATGTTGAAAACACACTTCAAAAAAATTCTGAAAATTCTGGAAAAAATAGATATTGCCATCTGAAATTTGGGGGTCCTGACTACACAAAATATCATAACAAAAGTAGTGGAAGTTTGCTTGAGAATTCCATGAAGGATTTAACATTTCAGCTTTAACTATTCCATTTTTCTAAGGGTCCATGCCAAGACCTTTCGGGTGATGTGTGACTAAAATGTCAATCACGTTGCTATAGTAACGAATTTGGCCTGTGAAAAGAGGGTACAAAATCAAGGTCAAAAATCAGCACTCGCCGATTGGCAAATTTAGCCTAACACGGCGTCGAATGTGAATGAAATAAGGCAATTTTTGAACAGTTAAGGTCTTGAGCTTTGTAATTACGCAATAAAAAGTACTGCACCTCGTCAGGATACGTTGGGGTGGACGTCTAGAATGAGGGGTATAAGCGGTGAGTTAAACAGTGATTCCGGTCCACAGTGCCGTTCAAATGCGTCTCATTTTTATAAATCGTACTTTTTGTTTATATTAATATAATAGAAAATATTCTTAAAGTTTTATTAAGGTTATTGTAACGATTAGAGGATAAAGAAAATATTTCGAAACTATCGTTTACGACTCTGCGTCATTGACCCCAAAATGTGCACAACATGGCGGAAGGAGGCGGACTTAGATGTGAGATAGCGAATATTCCTGGTGCAGAAAATATACCGTGCGGACTCAGTATTCCATACAAATGCCACACGAGCTGTGTTTTGCTTAGGGAGTGTACCAGAGACGTTAAAAACCACTTAAAAACCTGAAAGTGCTTCATGTCCAGAAACGAGCTACAGATAGAAAGGAGCTTATTCTTCAAAGTTATTTCGACTTTGACCCCGAGAATGAACTACTTAACTAAACTATATGTCCAGCACACAGGTTTCGTTTAGGGACGAACTGGACTACGTCCAAAAAGTGCCGGTACCCACTTCTCAAAGAGAAAGGGAAACCCTCTTCTTACCAAGCAATTGGCGTCGAGATTTCCAAGGAGCTGAAACTAGATTTTGGTGTGTTGGTCCCAGTAGGGTCATGTAAGTATAATGGCTATATCGGCTAATTGTAGTTTACCAACAATGGAAAAAGCATAACAAATTTTAAAACTCACCCAGTTTATATCTACACAGTCACTATACAATGATAGGAGATCTTGTAGCATATTTTTATACGAAATTATTGTGAAATGGAACATTTATATTAGAGTAACTCACTTGCATGTATTCAATGATTGTTTGTGCACATATATTATGTAACAATTTTTATTAATATTGTAGAAATTTAAGTAGTGTATTTGGTTGATACTTAGTTGAAAGGTGATACCATTCTTTTTTTCAGCTCTTTGTAAAAGGTGTAAAGAGAAAGAGACTGCTCGTCAAGGGGGCGTCTCGATAGTCTGAAGGTTCATTGGTCCGAAGGAATCAAGGGTTCATTGGTCCGAAGGTTCTATAGTGACTATTGAACATTCGGACTATTGCTACAGCCCCCTTGTCACCATGAGAAGTATACAGCAACTAAAGATACAACTGTGGCTTCTATGTCTAAACTTTCTTCAGCCCAAGAAGAAACTGAAGTAAGTTATAATATTATTTCCATGCACAGTTTTAGCAATACTGTAATTATTAAGGTGCACACTACTGATATAAATATATAGCAGTTCCTCCACTGTTCTCATATTGAAGTAGAGATTTTGTAAATCACTCAGTTTGTTTTTACATTGTTAAAGTACAGATTTTATTTGTAAATCAGGACTTTGAGGCTAGTGACCATTAGATGGTTTATTGAAGATTTGATGTGAAAAGCTTCTTTTGTTGAGGTACACTAATACTTTTTTCACCTCTCCGATTATTAAGGTTACAATAACTGAAGATCCTCTTTTTACAGCATGCAAGGTTAGACATGCCAGTGTCAGGCAGCAGCAGCAATGGCAGCTCACAAAGTAGTGGGAGGACAGACCTTGAAGCTTCTTGGGTCTCTACACCTGTAAAGAACCAGGACCTGGGGAATTTGAATAATTTTCTTGTTCGTGGTGGGTTTGAACCAGCCATAGGTCAACTTAAATCTAGCTATGACACTGCTGCCCCAAGAACGAGAAGGTATTACAAACAGAAAGCAAGAGAAGGCATCAACTTGGTTCTGAACTGTTTGTCACTTGGTCATGAAGAAGCTGTCTGGAGATATGTTCAGAAAGCGGATATGGAAACCAGTACCATCAACGCACTGATAGCCTGTTATGAAAGTGCAGATTCAAGAAAACTCAACGCATAAGTCTGCCGCTGTATATGTATTAGTGCAAGACGTTTTTAGTCTAATGAAAGGCTCTACAGTGCATTTTTATTGGTGCTTTATTTTTCTTAATTTTCAAAATTACAATAAAATATATATTATTATCTTTAAGCAATCTGATTTTCTTTGAATGAGAAATGGAAATGAATAAAAACAGATATCATCCACCTAAAATGAGTGCTTCAATAATAATTTTTAAAAATGAAAAGTTACATAAAAAGTACGACCTTGCTCCAAAGATAAAAATATAACATGGATACACTGTGGAGCATTACATATATTTTTAAAGGGGATGCTGATATTACATGCTTATATTACATTTTGCATCAGCCATACGGCTTGTTCCCAATGAAAATATTATCCCACATAGATCAATCCAACTCCCCAGATAAACAGATTTTAAAAACACGAAAAATAACCAATGATTTGCTGAACACTCAGTCATGCATCCTTGTTGAACAGTTTCTTATTTGTTTTTTATTCATCATTTCTCATGAGACTTCAAGGGGAGCAATTTTTGTTCACACTTGTCCTTGCCTGCTTGTGCTGAATAAAGAAGCCTGTCTGTTCAGATAAAGCTGGTATCACTATGGACAAAATGTAGGAGCACAGTGGTAGCACCCAACAACATCTAAACTAATATTTCTCCAAAGCTGTCCATGTTTGTTTTCAGCTGGCAGACAGATTTATCTAGCAGAAATATAACTGCAACCCAGTTCTAACTGGCTTTCTCCACTCAGTTGATCTGAAAAACAAAATGAAAATATAGTTTTACAAATATATCCTTGCTTATAATTTTCTGGAAACTATGAAATTTACCCAGATGAAAGGCTTTCTATAAGCAAGGTCCTATCTACTGTAGCAATGATAAAAGCCACCTTTCAAGCTAGTTATTACAACAATCATCAATGATATTGAAACAAACATTGATTGTAATACTTAACAACAATATTTTTCAAAGAGAAACGTATATAATCATANGGGTTTCTATAAGCAAGGTCCTATCTACTGTAGCAATGATAAAAGCCACCTTTCAAGCTAATTATTACAACAATCATCAATGATATTGAAACAAACATTGATTGTAATATTGATTGAGTTATGGACGTAAACGATAGTTTCGAAATATTTTCTTTATCCTCTAATCGTTACAATAACGTTAATAAAACTTTAAGAATATTTTCTTTTATATTAATATAAACAAAAAGTACGATTTATAAAAATGAGACGCATTTGAACGGTACTGTGGACCGGAATCACTGTATAACTCACCGCTCATACCCCTCATTCTAGACGTCCACCCCAACGTATCCTGACGAGGTGCAGTATTTTTTATTGCGTAATTACAAAGCTCAAGACCTTAACTGTTCAAAAATTGCCTTATTTCATTCATATTCGACGCCGTGTTAGGCTAAATTTGCCAATCGGCGAGTGCTGATTTTTGACCGTGATTTTGTACCCTCTTTTCACGGGCCAAATTCGTTACTATAGCAACGTGATTGACATTTAAGTCACACATCACCCGAAAGGTCTTGGCATGGACCCTTAGAAAAAGGGAATAGTAAAAGCTGAAATGTTAAATCCTTCATGGAATTCTCAAGCAAACTTCCACTACTTTTGTTACGATATTTTGTGTAGTCAGGACCCCCAAATTTCAGATGGCAATATCTATTTTTTCCAGAATTTTCAGAATTTTTTTGAAGTGTGTTTTCAACATCTTTTGTAACAGTTATCAAACACAGAAAATTTGGGTTGAATCTGTTGACCCCCACCTTGCCGCTATTTGGTTGATTCTCTCGTGAAATGGCACTTAAGTGACTTTTAGTTATGAAATATAAAAGCATTTTCATGAAAAAAAGACCTTGCATAGACCAAGCATACACGTGTACCAGAACAAGCTGGTTTTCCAAGAAATGAATTTAAATAAATCTACTGCAATTAACGATCTCATACATATTAAAATGCTGATTTTTAAATTTAAACTTTGCACATTACGTATTTAAACCTTATTTTTCTTAACCCCAAGCTTTTAATCAATTCATGTATTTTATTCAAGAAAATCACTTAAACGGCACGTCACGGTGTCCCTTGTGTTATCACTTTTCCTGGCGCTCCTTTCTTGTATCACCAATAAATCTGATTGCACTCAGCGGGAGTCGCAGCGAAGTTTGACGTAGATTCATTGGGGATGTGCCCCAAGTTCTAACTTAAAGCAATAATAACTCTTCCTTTGAGATTCAAAATTCCGCAAGAAATACATTGTAAACAACGCCTGGAAATATATTCTATTGCATTTTCCCACTAAAACGACTGTTATTGTAGTAAAACTAAAATCTGTGCTTGTCACTTGGGCTTTCGATGCCTTTCTTTACGGTCGACAAGTGCATCCGTTGCCAATGACGTTTAGGTGTCACGCGGATTCTCGCGTTCATTCGAGACCAAAATAACATGGCGGGAAACCCTCAGACTTAAGTTGCGAGTTTTTGTACAGTGCGTCGGATAACGAAAAGCCCAGAATTGCACACACTGTAGATATAAATGCATTTTGAGCAATAAGACGAATATATCTTATGAATCTTATAATATTGTTATATAGTGTTGTTGTTGTCTGCTTTTCCCGCGGTTTTAAGTAGGTCACCAGAAACTATCGCTCGATATCGCGTGACTATCATGTCAGAGAGAGGGCTCCTTCAGTTAAAATCTCTTAAGAGATTTTAACAAAAAACCGTACGTTTAGGAAAAAAACCCTGGATTAACTTTGAATGCAGGAATGGGGTCGTTGACCATTGGTAAGTACGGGAAAATTGCCGTTTTTTCCAGGAAAATCGTATTTTTGGCCAAAACGAAGAGTTATTATGACTTTAAAAGAGCATAGGGGAGACCGGGGCTAGTTGGCCCAGTTAGACACTTTTGACCTTGTAGAGCCAACTAGGAATGGGTTAGAGTAACAAAACCGCCACGGGGCAAGTTGGCCCCAGGGTCGGGGCAAGTTGCCCCCCCCCCCTATGCGAAAATGAAGTATATATCCCATGTAAACGCCTTGAAATACATTTTTAATTTATTTAATTGATTCATCTATGATGAATAAATAGTTCAAACGAGGCAGATTTATTGAGGTTTCCGTACGTCACGTTGTGTGTGTGTGTTGGTGGGAGGGGGGTGTGTGTTGCAAGAACCAAAAAATCTATCAATAAAATTTGTTTTGTTTTAATTAAGAATAAATTAATAATGATATAAAGCAAGATTTTAATGAATGAAAATGAATAATAAATTTCCGTTTTAAAAGAAAGTTACAAATTCAGTTTTAAACCATTGAGTTTGTTTCAAGCTAGGGAGGGGTGGAAAATCCCCTTGGGGCCACATATAACACTATAAATACAAAGGGAATCCCCTTACAATGAATTAAGGCAAAATAAATGTTTTTCTAAGGAAAGTCCAATGGATTTTCTTTTTAATACATACAATCAACAGAACATTTCTAATATAAAATTTTGAAAAGACACCAGAGAGCAAATTAAATAAAATCAATCAGACGAGCACAGGCTTCAAACAACTGCGCATGCGCGAAAAGTGCGGTGTTTGAAATAAACAAATGGTGAAATTGACAAAGCCTGCCGGTGTTTATCGTCTGATTGATTTTTATTTAATTTGCTTTCTGGTGTTGTTTTGAGAAATTATATTAGATATATTCTGTTGTATGTTTTAAAAAGCAAATCCATCGGACTTTCCTTTGATTAACATTCATTTTGCGGTCATTGTAAGGGGGATTCCCTTCGCATTTATAGTGTTATATGTGGCCCCAAATGGATTTTCCACCCCTCCCCCACTCTTGATTAATAAAATTCTTCATCGGGCAGATTGAAATTTATACTACAAAATACATTAAAAATCGTAGGAAGGTTAATTGCAGATAATACTGTAAGGATATTCTTATCGGGGGCGAACTCGGCCAATATAAAATTTTTAACTTCGTCTTACGATTTTGGAGCGCCTGTTCTAATTTTTGAAAGTGAGGCAATGGAACCAAACAATTCGATACAATTTGTAATCTCGTAAAAATGGATATTTCTTAATAGAGTTTTTAGCCGGGCGTACATCAAAAGGCGACTCGTTTATTATAGTGATATGTAATAATAATTAATATAAAAGATACGATATAATAGGTTCTTATAGACGGCCTATTTATTAGCTTTATTGATTTTTTTAAGTATTTGGAGATTAAAAACACAAAAGTTGGCTGGTTTCATATCGAGGCACCCCGTTTCGTTCGTGTGCTGCCCCGAGTCAATGGGGCCAACTAGCCCCGGGTGCACATTATTTATTTTAAAGGATGGCAGCCATTTATGGTGCTAGAATGAGCAACGATGATACATCTCTGTTAAACTTGAAACAATGAGCTTCAGTTTGATGCCCTATACATATATTATATTCGATCAAAAACCTATGAAAATAGATTTTTAAATCTCTTAAACAAAATTACTTTTAGGTGCAAAAATCGTTTATTTCGACTCACCGCTTAAGTAATACTTTTTGACGTCCGACACTTCCTTAGCATTTCAGGCATTTACTGTCACTTTACAAAAGTATGTGGCCAATTTTTTTTTTACCTCGTGGTTATTTTTTTATAAATTGACGGGGGGCCAACTTACCCCGGGGTCCAACTAGCCCCGGTCTCCCCTACTTTTTCATAAAATGACGGGGGGGCCACTTACCCCGGGGCCCAACTAGCCCCGGTCTCCCCTACTCTACACTAGGAAGTTTTGCCCCTTATTATGTGCTCTTCAAATAATAACAATAATAGTAAAAATAATAATAGTAAAAAAATAGAGCAGCACATTTTTGGAACACATAACTTTATTCACTAATTTGTAAGTGGAAATTATTACAGTTTTCCAAATATATGAAATACAAAGTTCAAGGTTGTAAACGTTACTTAAAACAAACTTCCACTTTGCATGATATAAAAGTTTGCTTAAACCATTATTTGTATTTCTTAAATTTCAGTCTCCATTTATTATAAATCACACATTTCCATGGTAATGTTTGAATTTTTACTTTCTTGTCCATTTTAAATGATGGGTTTAATACCAAATTTATAGTTAGTGAACCTTTTTTTATAAAAAGCAGCATTATACCAAAGCAAAGTGAACAATGCAGACTAAGACAAAATTAGAACAAACTGATAATATAAAGAATATCCAGTTAAATTATTGTTCAAACTTACGCACTTTTTTAATTTCATTTTTGTAACCTATTTTAGATTTATTATTTTTTTCTCTTAAGAGGTCTGCTTTCCCCATTTCCTTATCTAAGATAAAGTTGTTAGACACTTACACGTACCATTGAATACCAGTATATATAATCAATATTTCATGTAATTAAGGGATTAACTTAAATTATACTTAATACCACAACTATTAGTTTTAACTAAGCAATACTTAAATTACAGTGATTTTACAAATTTAATTTGAAAACTGGTTATATTTCTCCTATTTTCAGCCAATTTACCAAAGTAATTTCTTTCTTCATAAGCAACTTCACGCTGGTACGCATCAGCTTACTGTAGCCCGTTCCGACTTAGTCACATGCTTTAGCAAAACACACTCTAGATTCTTGAATTTGGCATGCCACATTCCATACTTTATTCTTTTGAAGCTGAATAATGCATTTGAACATAATATTGTAAATTTAATCACATTGAAATAATGAAAAAACTTATAGTATCCACAATATCTTGTTTCTAGGAGATGATACAAATTAGGCAATATGGATATCGAGTTCAAGAATGCTTTTCACAGCGTCTATTTCCATGAAACAATATGACAAAGGACACATGTCAGCCCAATTAAAACAGCAATAAACAGGGCACCTTGATTTACCTAAGTTTCTAGAATATAGAGCACTTTGTCCATTCCCCATTTTTAATAACACCATGTATATTGAGACAGACAGATAAACCACTATAAATACTTATCAAGACATCAGAAGATAGAGAAAAGACAATCCAGGGCAATGAAAATCCAAGTTTAACTGAAACTAAATATACTAATATAAAATAATGAAATGAAAAAACTTCTTAAATTTCTTGGAACCTGACACAGTAATGACTTTAAAGAAATAAGTAGGTTATCACTTAAAATGACAGTAGCAAACTGAGTGTTGTAACTTTTTAAGCAGGCTTAACCTAAGAGCAAAAATAGTCCTACATGTAATACCACTAATATTAACGATTCAATGTGTCAAAACAGTTAGCTAGTGTCCTAGATTTGATCAAACAATCCTGGGCAGAATATCACTAATTAGAATTTTGCTGAAAATCAACATTTCTTTTTATATTTTGAACAGTACACTCCACGAACAGTGTTCCTTCAATTAAACATCCACGTTCCAAAATGTCACTGGTCTGTATGGTGACCAAATCTATCTTGGGGTTTTCCCCTGACACCGGCTGCTGTAGCCCCACGCTCTGGCTCAAATCAGCACTTCTGAAATCAAGTTTCTTTTCAAATTCCAATGGTTCGTTGGGGAATTTGATGACACCAATACGGATATCGGGTCGAAACGGCCATTCCAGTGCCCCGTCGTGCTCACCTTTTTGGACTCGAAGAGAGAATGATAGGTGCTGACCTTGGTCACCTTCAAAGTGAACATTCAGGCGAACTGCATAGCCTTGGGCGCTTGTCATCAGCAGAGGGGACTCCATGAACACGCGTTTTCTCGATGTTTTTTCAAAGTCTTCAATCTTCCAAATTAGTTTTCCATTTTTGCTGCCCAGTTCTAAGTCCCATTCTCGTCTTTTGCGTCGTAAAATCTCTTTGTCTTGTTCTTTGCTTATACGTTGAAGGAAATGAATATAAGCCTGGTCAGCCTCCTGTTGTTGAATGTATCTTTGGGTGATGCAGGATAGCACAAAGCTAACGCTAGCGATGTTCCTTAGTATCAGTAATACTAGGAACAACAAATTGTCCTCAAGGCTGAATGGATCACTGAAATTGAAAAAGGATCGTATTATTTGCATTATTTGTAAAATTGATAATTTCCCTTAATGAAAAGGACAGAGGCATGCTAATTGTGGTCCCTCATTTCCGCTTAATACTCCTTAAACTTGGAGTGACAGTAAGATCCTAATGCTCCTGATGCTCACTTTCTTACCTCATGTCGAATGGGATGTCAAAAGTCTGAAGTCTTTCTGAGGAGTAAATAAAAACACGGGGTAGCTATATCGACCTTAACTTATCAGTTGGATGCAAGGATTGTTGAGGAGTCTCGTTCTCAAGTGACGATACCCCCCCCCCCCCCCCCTCATGGTGTCGTGGTGTCATGTTACCAACATTGCTGGCAAAAATTTCAAGTAATCTTACCCTTAGTTTCAAGCCAAATTAAATTTTCCCTGAGAAAGGAAGCAATTCTTCTTGCATCGAATCATTGCTCGAGCCTGCACTTTGAATCGATGTCTTATATCATTAACTAAATTATTTTATAAAGCTCTAGACAGGCGTTTTATCGCCATGTTTCCTTTAGATTAAAGACGGGAATATAGGCACTATTAACATTTTTGTACACTTCGACATTTAGACATAAAGATATGACTTTGGGACATTTCCAAAGACGTATAGTAAGATGTACTCATGTGTCATGTTTATGAACAGTTGAGCATATGTTATAAGACTGGTTGGGTGCTATTTACCTTTAGTTGATCCACCCCTTCCATATGTGGACGGTATGTAAGCGGTATAACCTTAAGATTGCTCTTACACAGACATCACCCCTACACAAAAGTTAGATCTTGACACCCAATTTCTTACCTCATGCCGAATGTGTTTCAGTTAGTGTGCATTCGCTAGTTTGCTTGTAACGTTAATACTGCCCCTGAACGTTGTACACCGACTTTTTTGGCAGTCAGTAGAAAGAGACTAATTTACATATTCACAAAGGGTGTTGTTAGGACCGGTAGTGCAGTGTACAGACATTGTATATGTATATGTATGTATGAATGGATGTATGTCGTTTTTGTGGTAGTGTAACATAAAAAATATCCAAGAACATGTACTGTAAGTCATATAAAGCTGTGGCTTATCACAATTATTGTGTTTTACCCTTTGTATTCCCGCTGATAATAGTACTTTTCTACACGTTTCTTATACCGACGACAATCACTTGTCAATATCTTCAGATCTTAGAATTGTTTTAAGAGTCACAATTTTCTAACGTTGGGGTGAATATAAGTTAAATTGCTACGCATGGTTTCAATTTAGGATTAAGCAACATGTCATGTCATGAATAATCTCATATAATGATTTAACAACTTAAATATTTGAGGCCACTTTGTGATCTGTCTTAAATCTGTCAGTAAGCTTTCAATCATCCAATCATCCATTCATCCAAATTAGGATGCAGTTTTTGTTGCCCAGTGCTAGGTCCTAACGTCGTCTGTCCCCTACGGCTTGTTCTGGGAGTTTACTGATAAGGGCATGGGTGTTTACTGTCTGGTGCTGAAGCATAAGTCGGCCGTAAATGTTACTTTGTATTATGTAAAACATGAAGCTAATGCAAGCGTTGTTCCTTATACCCCCTTTACACTGGACAGCGTTCTTTCTGCGTCCTTTCTGCGACCATGAAATTTGGCACCGCTGTAGTCTTAATAAAGAGGCACGAGCATTGATTCTGTATCAGAATGAATGCTCAATGATCGACCAGTTGTCAGCACGTAAAGTATTATATTTTTTAAACTCTCAAATGGGGCCGCACTGCTGGACGCAGAAAGGACGGTGTCCAGTGAAAAAGGGGCTTTAGTAACAGTTGTACTAAGAAAAACAAATCGTCCTCGAGGCTGAATGGGTCACTGAATTGGAAAAGGCATTATATTAAATTTCCCCATTGTTTACTTTATTTGCATATTGAAAATGCATTTTTATTCCCTTACCGGAAAGGAAGAGACATGGTTATAGTCAATACTCGTTTCCTTTTAACTCAGAAACTACAACCAGTCGGTGGTTATACACACCTTCTTAAAGTTACTTTTTCACCAATAAGTTAACTGAGACAGGCAGGAATAGTTTACTGCTACATGATTTATTCAACCGACTGAAGACTCAGGTCTCTTCTACCATCTCTCTCTGTGGTATCTATCTCCCTAACTCTCTCCCTGTCACCGCTTTTTTACATGAACTTCATTTTCATTTTAAATTAACTTCTATGATTGACATGCCTTAAGACCTTAAAATTTAATTGTGGGTACAATTTGCATTAACGAATATGTAAATCACATATATGGAAATTAGCTCTCAATACTATTAATAGTTCAAGGCATGCAAACTGCCATGTCTATATGCATTTGAATAATTAAAACTTAAACAAATATGCATATCTCAGTATGTAAATTTGGAAGACTATCAGTACTAATAAACGGTTCACTACAAGAAGTGAAAGTACCACGCATAGTATGGTGCAAGATCCTGTTGCTCACTATTTTACCTGATGTTAAATATGTAGTCACTAGCCTATTTCTAGTCTTTCTCAGGAGTAAATAAGAACTGGTAGCGGGCTAAATACTCTATCTGCACGTTGTATACCCGTGACAGGCACATACAAGGTACATACATTGTATATCTATGAACGTATGAATGGTTGTGGCAGTATTACATATATGTGGCAAATAGTGCTGTGGCTTACCACAATTATTTTCATAGTGGTAAACCGCTTATATTCCCGTTGATAATAGTATTTTTTCTACACGGTTCTAATCCCTACGGCAATCACTTGTCAATATTTTCAAATCTTAGAATTGTTTAAAGAGTCACATGTATTCGTTAGGACATTTTTCTAATGTTGGGGTAAATATAAGTTAAATTGCCATGCATGGTTACTATCTAGAATTAGGCAGCATGTCATATTGATGACACTAAGGGATCTTGCGCTCTTTTGATTAATTATTACTAAGCTATATTAATGACAAATCTGTGAATATTACGCACTCTGTATATGTGTGTGTTTGGTTTTTAAATTGCATTCGGCCTTAAGTAGGAAACACTTGTCTGCTGGAGATAAAGTCTATTCAACCTAACTTGATCTTGTTTGGTGGGTCATAATTGGCGCTCAAGATTTTTCTGTCATACGCGTATAAATGTTTGCTTAACGTACCTCACAATGAGATTAAGTATTCAATACTTTTTATTTCTAGTGCTACATTTAGCAGTAGCTCTGGGGTTTTTTTTGAACGCATCTTACAACATCTTGACTGTCATTGTCTAAAATATTGTAAATTACTCTTCTAAATATAGTTAAACATAATTTTTTTTAATCGTCCTTTCTAGAGACCAACCTCTTACAAAGTATGGTTAACATGGTTTACAGTAATTGAGATAAGGTTGCATGTAAACATCTATGCCATCAAACCAGCGGCTTCGTATCATATATATTTATTAAGGTAGTAATTAACAGCAAATTGTCAAAATTTGGGTGTTTTTCTGAATTTGTCAGTATTAGATAGATGAAATATCAACTACATATCAGCCTATCTTAAAATAATGGAAGTTTACAAATAAACCCGTAATTTTAGCCTAATTGCTGATTTACCCCTGCGGTAGCATGTCTGAGTTTTAAAGTAGGTCACACTTGTCCATATATGTTTGATTGGCAGCTCCACTGTGCAGCTGTATATTTCCCGTACTAGATTGCTGCTAAGCCTTTTGAATTTATCAGTGAACTTAATTCTGACGATCTATTAAAGCTTTAAAAAGCAGACATATAGATGAGACGTATATGGGCAAAGGCACTCCCCCTAGGTGTCACGTGGTGAAGAAGGCTGACGTCACGACTAGCATGGTGGCTGCTGTCAATGCATGTTGGGGGCCTCCGGTTGAAAATGTTCAATAATAATGTTGAAAATGGATGAAAGACATAGTGACAGTTACATAGGCAGTGAGTAGAGGGCTGAACCAGTATAAATAACTAAATTTCTCAGCTTGCCAATGCAGCTCACTGATTATATAACGTTGGAATCTCCGGGGAGCACTAAAAGGCTGATTTCTCCGCTTCAGTTTATGGCTTCAAGAGAACGATTAAGACCAGTGTCAAAATTAATTAGAACTCTCAACCGATGAAAGCTGGTATTCATTCGTTAAATCTAAGGTTTGTCTGAAAGTATGTGTCTGGGATTTCATAACATCAGCTCCGTTTTCAACTTAGGCATGCTTTAGTTAG